CGGCTGTACGACGCCTGGCAGTGCCGAATGGCCCGCGACGCGCCGGAGACGGGAGTCAGCTGGGGGGACTGGCTGCAGCGAGGCTGCGGGTTGAGTCTTCGAAGGCGCGTCCATCGAGAGCAGCAGCCGAGGCCGAGTGGGTGCTACCTGAGCACGCGGTCAAGGCACCGCGGAGGACCGAGCGGGAGTCCCGGTGGCGCCTCCAGCATCCGGTTTAGCCCAGGCTGAGCCAGGCCCAGTCTCTGCGCCCCCCATTGTGGGGCCGGGGGCAGCGCCGGCAGGACCAGCTGTGTTGCTGGGATCGTTTCAAGCCGGCAGCCCCTGAAGAGGGGCAGGACGTTTGGGGAAGCCCCCTTCCTCCAGCCGAGCAGAGACAGGATCCCAGTCCCTGCACCGATATCTGGGACGGTACCAGGGCTTTATCCCTATTGTGCTCTCACGGATCCACCAGCCCGGTGCTCTCGCACGGCTCAGTGGGTCAGCCCCCCTTGGGCTCACACTCTCACCGGGCTTCCCCGTCTCCTGGGACCGACCCGCCAAGCCTGCAGCACTTGGTCCGGGTCATGCCGTGAGCTCCCCTCTGTGAGTCCATCTGGTTTGGGCACCCGAGGGAGCCGTGTGCACCCGGAGGGAGCAATGCACCCCCCCTTCCTTAAACTGGAGTGACTCTCAGCCGCCCCATAACAGCAGGGGGGTTCCCGGCGTCCGGACGCAGCAACCAGATCTTAATTACCAGAGCAGGGAAAGTTACAGCAAAATCCAGCTGGATCTGTCCAGAGCCCTCTGAGCCCAGCAGCGTCTCTCCCACTTCACAACCCACCTGGCCCCTCCTCAGCCCTTTGTTCCCCGCTGGTCGCACCCGCTGCCTTCCTGGGGGGGCATCCATGGGCATTTGTTGCTAGGTGCCAAATGTCCGGGCTATTGGAGTGGCCATTGTCTTCTGGGTAGGAAAGTATCTTGTATCTCTGGTTCTCTGCATAGAGCAAACACCCTACTTACACGTAGGGGAGACCGAGGCACACACAATATTCATCCAAAATATTATGACAAATGCCCACTCTGTCGCGTGTGTCCAGGCTTCGTGGGCTCATCCAGGCCATCCGGTGCCCTTCTGTCCCCTGCGCTGACCAGATGAAGGGGGTACTCGGCCGCGGTTCGGAAAGAGCGATGCAACTGACCGTAGCAACCCCAGAGCGCGATTCCGCTGTCGGTCCCAAGGAAAGTCTTCACGTCGGCGTTAATGCGGGACACGCAGGGCAGCGCTTGGAGCAGGTCGTCCCACTGCTGCCCGGGGCTTTAGCTTGAGACGCATTAGGAGCCGATGGTTGAACGCAATGAGCCGTGCGCGGCACTTTTCCTGCATGGCCTTGGGCCGGTGAGCCGCAGCACACGAGTTCGGGGCTCTGAGGAGGTGTCTCGGCGTCACGCACAGAAGAGCTCGGTAATGGCCCAGACGCTGTTACGATACACATGGCCGATGCATGGCCGTTTCCATCGGCGCGGGAACGAGGGCGCAGCACCCCCAGGTCTCGCTGTCCGACGTTGGCTGGTGCTGCCATAGCGAAGCCGCATATTTCATGATTCTGGGGGGCCCCGGAGCTGTGCTGAGCTGTGTGGCGTGAGCGGGAATCGCCCCTTTTCACCGTGCGTTTGAACACCAGGGTTAGTGTTAGCTGGCTTTCAGCGCCCCCGTAACTTGGCCCAGTGCCGCTGCCCGTCTCCTACCTCCACGGGGG